CTTATTAATGATCATTAGCGTTTCTTCCTGCTATTCCTTGGGGCATCACTGGTTTCTAGCAAATTACTCATCAAGGCAGGATTCTTAGGCCATAAAAATAATTGACTTGCTTATCCTTCCCCATAAACTTGCGAGATTATTCTTCTACTCCTGTTTCTTGGATGAGGAAATGAAGCTGATGAGGAATGACTTGGCCAAGGACACCTTCTAAGTCATTATCTTGGTTGGCTTTTGAAACGGCATTTCCTGTTGTCACATCAGCCCCCTAGCCTAGCCTGAACTTCCTTTCCACAACCACGGCTTCAATATAGACTCTTGGAAATCGCCACGGAACAGAAGGGTTTCTTCCCGACTCCTTCCTCCTCCAAGTTTTAATATACTGTATGCATTCCGCACCCCCCAGCCTTCAGGCAAAAGGATGACAGAATGTATAGTCTGGATCCCCTTTTACCTCCCTTTTCAGTGGCTATTTACGTACCTTTGAAAAATCCATTTGATGCACTTGCAAGGGGGTGTCAAATAAACATCAAGTCCTTTTATCATCAAGAGTGTACAACTTGTAATCATGAATTATGCAAGCCGGGATCGGCTGTCTCATTGTAGGAAGGAGCAGCTGCAGGCACTGCTCAGAAGAGTATAGGAGTTACAAAAGACAATTGGATAGACCTCATCAAACACTGAAATTAAAACAACAACCCTAAACTTTAGGGACATGCTCTGCTGAGGGAAGGGCCGTAACTCAGTGGTAGAGCTGGAGCAAATGCCTCTCCTATAGAAGGTTCTCTGCTCAGTCCCAGGTATCTCCAAATAGAGCGGGCAATGTCCCAGGCCTGAAACCCCAAAGAAGCACTGCCAGTCAGTAGAGACAAGACTGGACCAGTGGCCTGACTTGCAGAAGCAGCAACATATGTTCCTATGAACACATAGTGTTGTAAAATCCCTGCTTACAGAATGCACAGATTTACCATCATCTATGCCGCCATGTGTGGGACGCTGGCGGCGCTGTGGTCTAAACCACAGAGCCTAGTACTTGCCGATCAGAAGGTCGGCGGTTCGAATCCTGGCGACGGGGTGAGCTCCCGTTGTTCGGTCCCTGCTCCTGCCAACCTAGCAGTTCGAAAGCACGTCAGAGTGCAAGTAGATAAATAGGTACCGCTCCGGCGGGAAGGTAAACGGCGTTTCCGTGCGCTGCTCTGGTTCGCCAGAAGCAGCTTAGTCATGCTGGCCACATGACCCAGAAGCTGTACGCCGGCTCCCTCAGCCAGTAAAGTGAGATGAGCGCTGCAACCCCAGAGTCGTCCGCGACTGGACCTAACGGTCAGGGGTCCCTTTATCTTTACCTTTATGCAGCCATGTGCCTGACAAAGACTAACACTGTCCTCAAGCACACCCCTCCCAAGTTTTCCCAACCCGCAGGAGTTGGGACATCTTCACAGCCAGGGGACAAAATGTGTGAGTCAGTGTGCAAGGTTGCTTAAGCAGCACCCAACTGGCAGTCACCATGCCTCCTCCCAAGTAGCTTTGTTGTGACAGTTAGTGATGGACGATCACAAATCTTCTCCAGGGTATCCCTGCATCCTCACATAGCACATAGTGCCCAGCAACCTGGTGCCCTCCAGATGTTTTAGACTACAGCTCCAATCAGTCACAGCCAGCAAAGCAGTTCTAAGAGTTTTGTTTTTTTTTTTTAATTGGGACAACTTGCGCCAAAGATTGAGGGGGCTGGGTTGTGCAAGCGACACTGCATGATGTTGCATGTGTGACATCACATGTGCGTAGCATGACATCACATGAAGTTTCAGGAGGGGCTCGAAGATGGAGCCGAATGCAGTGGCTGGAAGCTCCTCCTCTCTTGCACTCCATGGCAGGGGAAGAAGGTGGAGCTGGCCACTGAAGCCATGCTAAGCTCCACAGTCGGCCTCCTTCACCTCCTAATGGTAGTGAACATTGAGGGTCCCAGCTCCCCCAAAGTATCAGGGGCCCTCAAAACACCCCTGAGTTGGCACTCCTGGGTGGGGGAAGAGATGGTGGTGCCAGGAAGTGCCACTGGAAGGAGGTCAGGAATGGCAACGGTGAGTTTCATCTCCAACCTGTCCTTTGACACCTCCTTGGGAAAAATTGATGGAAGATGTCCTCCATTTTACTCCCATCCTCACAAAATTTGAAGCAAATGTGTGTATTTTTATGAAAAACTAGGACTGGGCTCAGTCCTAGTTTTGAGACTGTTCACAGGGAGCGGGGAGGAGAATGTATTGTGTGAGTTGGCCATAGGGCTTCATCATGTTTTGCTAGTACAGATGATCAAGACACAGATAATGAGTTTAAAAGTCAGGAGGCCAAGAGGGGCACCATAAGGGTTTAGGCCCGTGGTTCCCAATGTGGGGCACACACCCCACAGGGGGGCAATTTGATTTTAAAGGGGGGCAATTTGAGAATGAGTTACACCAAGTTTTTTAGGCTTCCTCCACATGAATAGGAGTTCACTTTTTGAATACTAAGAATTATATGTCACGAGGAGGGGGCATCAGGATTTTAGAGATGCTTAGGTGGGGCATGGCCAAAAAAAAAGGTTGGGAACCACTGGTTTAGGTGATCCATACATCCTATACCATCTCACATGGCCACCACGATGAAGTCAACATCCCTTTTGTGACAGCTACTTATATGAAATTGCTACCTTGTGAAGTCAATTCCTATGTTATCAGGTTTAGAGGTTTGGATTTATAAGGCCAGGAAGAATTCTAAAATAACTCCCAGAGGGCAAAACACTGGAGACTTTTTAAGATGGATTTTGCTTGTTACTGGGAAGATGAACATAAACAACAAAAAAATGATTAAATTTCCCAGTGATTCAGAGCTCAGTGTGGGTTACTCGGTGCAACAAAAGAGCCCTATAAAATTCAGAATGACAGGGGGAAACATGGACCTGGGGGGAGGATGATTATCTTAAAACAATCTCACTGATAGAAATGCAACACAGTAAGATGAAAATGGAAAAGGAGAGAACGAAGTGTGTCTGTATGCACTCATGCCTCAGATCGTTAAATAGAAATAGCTTCCAGGTATTTTGTCAGTTCTCTAACTCAGCCTCCCATAGCTTGCTCCCCCTCCAGATGTTTTAGACTACAAATCCCATCATCCCTGACCAATGGCTGTGCTAGCCAGGACTGCTGGGGGTGGCAGTCCAAAGGACCTGGAGGAGAAACCAGTTGCGGGAAGGTTGCAATAACATTTTTTTCTTATGCAATGTCCCTCTTCTTCCCTTCACAACAATCTTGCAAGGCAAAATGCCTGAGACATGGTGGTATGCTACACTTGAGATATGTGAAATCCCAGAATGACGCAAAGCTTCGTTGATGCTGGGGTGACTGCTTATGCATCACCAAAAAGCACCACCCCAAAAAAAGAGGTCGGAAGAGGACACTGGTTTGCATAAAATGTGCATGTGCTGTTTTATATGCAGAGATGCAAAACTCAAAATAATTACTATACAGGTGTCACCCAACTTACACAGGGGCTACATTCTGGGCCCTTGTATGTAAGTGGGGAGTACCCTCTAAAAAGACTCTAAACACCTGTCCCCCCCTCTCTCCCCACACATCTTTCTTTTCAACTAGAGTTAAAGTTCCAGGGCCAGCTGGAAGATGCGCAGGAAAATGGCTGCTGCTGCTGCACTACCACAAGCACCAGCTGCTAGGCAGGGAGGCCGAGTAGCCCAAACAAAGCCCCACTGTTCCTCCAGTCTCTTCTCCACCCTCACTGAAGTCCTCTTCAGGCTCTGGCTCGCAAGCCACAAGTATTCTCCAGCTCTCTCCTGCCACTTCCTGGTTTGAATCAATTCATCTATTTCCCACTACCACAGTCTACACAGTCACTCACGAGTTGACCCATGCATAAGTGGGGGGATGCCTGCGCTTTAAACAGAAATACAGTATATCTCACCATAACAGGGAAGACTGTGACCAAGAGATCTGCGTGTGCCTCCTTAGTCTGCTGTGCAGTTGACTTCAGGGTCCCTGCTCTCTTTTTAAATGACTCTGCACTTGGTCTGGACAACTCTTCAAGAAGAGTATAGCAGAGGTGGGGAGCCTGGGGCCCTCCAGATGTTGTGGGACTCCCAACTCCCATCAGCCTTGGCCAGGGTGGCCAGCAGACAATAGTGTCTACTGAGACCCACCCAATCAGAATGTCACACAGATGATCAAGGGTCTGGAAACCAAGCCCTATGAGGAACGGTTGAAGGAGCTGGGTATAATTAGCCTGGAAAAGAGGAGACTGAGAAGAGATATGATTGTCATCTTCAAATATTTCAAGGGCTGTGACATGGAAGATTTAGAAAGCTTGTTTTCTCCTGCTGGACTTGAACCAATGGCTTCAAGTTACAGGTAAGATGCTTCCAACTAAACATCAGGAATAACTTTCTGACAGTAAGAGCTGTTCGACAGTGGAACACACTCCCTCGGGAGGTTGTGGACTCTCCTTCCTTGGAGGCTTTCAAGCAGAGGTTGGATGGCCATCTGTCTTGGATGCTTTAGCTGAGATTCCTGCTTTGCAGGGGGTTGGACTGGATGACCCTTGAGTTCCCCTCCAGCTCTACAATTCTACGATTCTATTATTCTTTTAAGAATCCCCCATCTTAAAACTATACACTTTTCGTATGTCACACATACATTTTAGACTTCTGTGAACTTACAGAGGCAAAAACTGGAATCCTACAAATTGGCTATTTGATTAGGAGCCTGTGAAGCTGGATTCAGTGTCCCTTGCAGACATTCCCATCAGATAGCTGGTAGATATAATACTAGCTTCTTTTAATGCCAGGATGGGTAACCTATGGCTCTCCACATGTTGTTCCAAGCTCCCATCATCCCTGACTGTTGGCCGTGCTGGCTGAGGCTGATGGGCATTGAAATCCAGAAACATCTGGAGGGCCAGAGGTTCTCCAACTCTGAGCTATACCAGCACTGAGCTATACCAGCACTCAAGCTGCTGCCCTTGCAGTTCATAATATCTGAGAACTTCATAGAATCATAGAATTCTATGATTCTATGAAGTTCTCAGATATTATGAACTGAAATGTTCTTATAAATGGGGCATCCTTGTGTCAGCAGAGGGCAGTATCATGAACAGAAACAAGAGTGGACTTAAAAAGGTCTTAAAAGAAAGGATAAGAAGCTTGAGTCTGATGCAGGTCCAGAACACTATTGAGAAAACAAGGTGATAATTGTCTGAAACCCATTAACATGCTCCTGAATGGCGATAAAATGGAAATTAGAGTTCTGGGGTGTATTTGGAAATATTTCAGTAGCTGTAAATAAGAATCTGTGAGCAGCATAATGGCCTATGTATATTTAAGGCAGTTTCTGCATAAAGATAAAATTCCCGGGGGTTTTGGCAGAAAATTGCTTTGTAATTTCTCCCCCTCTCTCCCATTCTTTCCTTGCCCGTTTAAACAATCATGGAATAAGGAATCCTCACATTCAGCTTCTGTTTTATTTCCACGTTAGATCAGAGCTTGAAGTGGGACAGAACGTCTGCCAGATCAAGGGCTTCTGACTCACCTTTTTTGTCACATGATTGTCAGTCAGGATTATAGGGTTGTGACCAATACGTGACCCCAAATTGTCAGTGCGGGTGGGGGAAAACCACTCTGGAATTCCTTGTTCTGCAGACAAGGACAACAAGAGTACTGTAGCTGAAATAAAGAAGCCTTTGAACACAAGAGCGTAGGAACTTAATACCAAGTCAAACCACTGGTTCTAGCTCAGTATTGCCTATTGAGGATCTATGGAGTTTCTGACAAGGGATATTTCCACTGCTAACTGGAGATCCATGCAAGGCAGATGACCTACTGCTGAGGAATGTCCCCATGGCCATGGAACAACAGGTTCAGCACTGAAACTTGGAACTTCTATAGGTTTAATGTACTGCTGTGCTTATGAGCACCTTATGAGCAAAGAAATTGCACTTGCATATTATCAAAGGGGAGAGAACCATAGAATGATAGAACTGTAGAGTTGGAAGGGGATCTACAGGTCATCTAGTCCAACCCCCTGCAATGCAGGAATATGCAGCCATCCCATACGGAGGTAGAACCTGCAACCTTGGCATTATCAGCACTGTGCTCTAACCAACTGTCTTGCTGAAATCTGGAGAAGCTCACCTGGTAGGGTGGAGCCACAGAGTAGCTGGGGAAACCCAGCCAGATGGGCAGGGTATGAATAAATTATTATTATTATTATTATTATTATTATTATTATTATTATTATTATATAATTCTCTGGCTATTGCAATAGCCCTGTGGTAGTGGAATCACTGCTGCTTTTGTTGTGCTTACCTGACTTCCAAGGTGGCCAAGGGGTGATTATGGGTGCCTTCCCTTTCATTCTGCAAATTGTTGCTCTGGTGGTCTGCACTTTGCAGAATTCCTGGAACCCAAATTTCCTGAAAATCATTTGGAAGTCTTAGCTGGGCTTTTCTGTAAGTGTGGGAAGGTAGGCAGGATGCCCTACAGCCAACTGATATTCTTTTTAGTTTGATCTTTTTAGTGACGTCTCTTTATGTTTAAAGAAATCAGCATGGGAAGGTTTTTGCTTGTTTGTTTCATGGTAAAAGTAAGCTCTTCCCTTAAAAAGAAAACCAGCAAATGTGCCTATCTTAGGCATTCACTAAACCAGCTTCCCTGGCTGCCCATGCTTCAGTTGCAGCTCAGGAGGAAATGTCACAATGCACTGTTTGTCTGAGATAAATACAAGTTTTTAAACACACACACAATCGCATAGGTACACAGGTACACTCACTCCAAAAGGCAAGCTTGGCTACAGCTTAGGCATACACCGAATGATGATAAACCCTGGCCTGTTGACCTGTAACGTGTGAATGGCTTTTACAGTGGACTGGAAGACCAAATCCTAACTCTGCATCATAGCCATGCCAACACTGATAAAGAAAAAGAGGGAGAAAGGAGCACACCAACTGTTCTTGCTCAAAACGCCGACTGTATTCCTCAGCCCACTGCCTTACAGTTCAAACATGTATTTGACAGCCCAGCGCATGAAGATTTACTGTGTAAGGGAATGAAATGCGCATGGTGGAATAAATAAAGAGGTTGCCCTATAATTTGCTGTTCCCTTGTTGTAGCATTGCAGCAGCCCACGCTGTGGGATAATTCTTAATATTGACTCCAGTTTCAGAAGACTCCATCTGGGTTATAGAAGCGCAGGAATGTTTCTGCTAGAGGCAGGAACGGGTACACCTGAACGATTCATGATGAAAGCAATGGCTTTGGTCCTTCCGCTCAAGGAAAGGTGCTTGAGTCAGAGGAGACTTCCAGTGGTGGGAGGAGAAGGAACATTTGTAAAAATAATTCTTGCTGTAGCCCTTGCACCACTTCCCACGTGGTTCAGCACAGTGCCACAGCAGAAGAGGGACTTTGGCAGAAAACGAAATTGGCAAAAACGCCTTTCCCTCCTTTTGCAGTGGGAACATACACAGATGAAAATCTATGTATACATTATTTTGGTAGTTTCTCCACTGGAGCAACATAGCCTGTTGATGAAACTTTTGTGGCTTTCTGCACATATATGATTCTACCGTGTTCAGCTGTTGAGCTTGCCTGCTTTAGTCTAAATTATGGATGGGGAAATTTTTTCTTTCTTTTTTTAAAAAAAAGTTTTATTGAGTTTTTTCACAACACAATAAAAAGAACGAATTAATCTGCAAAAAATAATAACAAGAAAGAAACTAGAAGAAAAGAGAGAGGAAACTACAAAAATCCTCCCTCACCTCTATATCTTAACTTTTATCCCATACAGGATAAGGTGAGCCTTCCCAGCCCCCAGGTAAGCCTGGGAGTATCAATGGGGAACCCTTTTTCAGACTGAGGACCACATTCTGAAGGCCATAACTTTCCAAGGACCACATGCCATTGGTGGGTGGAGCCAGAGGCAAAAGTGGGCGGAGCAACAAATGCAAATTTTACCTCTGTATGTGGTAGGCCAGTTTCTGCACTCACTCATACACCCTTCTCTAACCTCCATACAGACAAGCAAGAGGAGCTCAGGGGCACAATCCAGCCAGGCAAAACCACTCAGGATGTGAAGCAGAACCAGTGAGGGCTGTGGCCTAGCAGCCCTGAGGACTGTGTAGAGATGCCTGGAGGCGTCATTCAGTTCCTGAGCTGGGGGTGTTCCCTATTCTAAACCCTCTGTGTGAATTCTTCCCCTCAGAATTTGGCATCAGGATCATAGAATTGTAGAGCTGGAAGGGACCTTGAGGATTATCTCATCCAACTCCCTGCAATGCAGCAGGAATATGCAGCTGTCCCTTACGGGGATTGAACCTGCAGCCTTGATGTTATCAGCACCATGCTCTAACCAAGTGAGCTATCCAACTGAATGTAGGACGTAGGGATAGGTCACCAGCTATGCCAAGCCCTAGAGCAGAGTTGTGTCCCTTGTAGGTATCAGCGGGTGCCTGCTGGGGCCCACTGTTCTGCAGAGGGCCCTTTGTCAAGCCCTAGAACCTCCTTGCTTCTCATCACTGTCTGGTCACCTGCCCACATTGAGCAGAAGACGTCCACTTATATCCTGCCCAGGGGCAGAGGGCTACCAAATGGGCAACAGGGTAAGTGGTGAGAAGGTGAGAAGGGGTGCCTACCGGGGGCACTGCCATTTAAATAATGAACCCACCTTTTCCAAGAAGCCTTCACCACAACTCCTTAGTCTTCCAATCTTACTGTACCTAAGCCGATGTACGTGTCCCTGAAATAACTGTGTCCACAGTCTGTTGTCTCACCTGTGTTGAGTTTAAGAATGTTAACACACCTGTCTTCTTGGCCCTTGCCATGCATGTTGATGGTGCTATTTAATAAGAGTAATAGCACACCTCTTTCGAACTGTCCTCCCACAGGCTAGAAACTAGGGTTGCCATATTGTGAAGAGCAAAAAAGAGGACACATTCATCGACTTCTGCTTTTAATTGTGGATCGCTATGATGACTCCGCCCATGAAAAAGTGGACGTGTCCCTGGAAAAAGAGGACAGAAACTTGCTTTTTCTGTTTTAATTGAAAACCAAGATGACTCCATCTTTAGACTCCATTCAGGCTTTTGTGCAAGTCCATAGCCAGTTGGCAGTAATAGTTATTGTTTCCAATAGGATTTGAAAACCCAAGCACTTTGTAGCAAGTTATAAAAAGACCCAGGACAGATTTTGCCTGCCTGTAGCCTCCCGATCTAAAAAATACGAGCAGCCCTGCAGGAAGGTTTCTGTTGCCTTCCCTTTCACCTTCACAGAGCCTCATTAACCTCACAGCATATACAAACAGTTTTAGACTAGCGGTATTAAATCCTCACATTTGAGACAATAAAGGCCAGATGGTGATAAAGGTGCAATAGATCATCTTGGAAGAACCGGTTCTTCAATGTTTAGAAACTCGTACCCCCACCTTAGCCTCACAGATGGCAATAGCAATAGTTTCTGCACAGATAGGTTCATTATTCCTCTTTTCTCATAAATTGAGCAAAGCTTTTGGCTCGCTAGCTTTAAAAAAATCAAATAAAAATAAAATACGGCAGGAGATTCTATGGCAGCGCATCTTAAAGGTCGTTGCCGAAACGTAATACTGGAAAGCCAAGGCTGGCTGCAGATCTGGCCCTGCCTTCATACATTGCTGACTTGGAGATGATGTTTGATTGCTGCCAACAAGACTGACACAGCAGAAATTAAAAATGGAGGCCCCCGTGGCCAAACACAGCAAGCTAGCTCTTGCATCGAGAAGTGAGGTGCTTCTGAAGGCCTTTGGAGGCCAGCCTATCGCCATGATCCCAAGCATCGTTGCTTGCAAGGAAGTCCTGTCTCTCTCAAAGAAAGAGAGCTACACCACTTTAAGGCAGCCTGAGCACACTGATAATATTACAGTCCTGTTCTCTGCTGCAAAGGCACACAGATCCAAATGAGTAATGCCCTCAAAACATGTATTTCCCAGCTCATGCGCACCTCAAAAAGAAGACAAGCAAACGCTCGGTCAGACATCACGCTGAACACAGGTACAAGTGTTTGTGTGAAAGAGTG